TAACGCCAAACATTCGGTAGAATTTATAGAATATTAAAAAAATTATGGTCTATTACCAACATATATATATATATACTAGCAGTTGAAAAAATCGAAAAGTTAGACAGGAAGTTAACTAACGCCGAACATGCTGTGATTTTCATCAATAATTATATCAACTTTTTGCGCCAAATTAGACGATCAGTTGTATTTCATTTAAATTTAGAGCTTTCATGTCTTGCTCGATTGTTTGCGACCAGGACTCTTTTGGACGGCCTTTGGGACGTGTGCCAGGTACTTCAACATCTGCAAGAGAAGTTGTGGCACTGTTTCCACTTCGTTTGACATGACCAAACCACCGCAGACGGTGTTGCCGGCATTCGTCCCTTATATCATCTAAACCAGCAAACAATACTGTCCGTCAGTTGATTAACTATATATATGTATATATATATATATGTATATATATATATATATATATATAATACATACGTACTAGCTGCTAGCTGTTGGTCAATTGTTTTTTGCTGTTGATTTTTGGCGTTTTTTCGAGTAGTTTTTGAGTATTTTCGGTTGACTTTTGGACGGACTATTCACTTTAGTTTCAGAGAATTCAATTTTTCGGTTAATACCCATATTACAGGGGTTTTTGTTAATTTTTTAAGTTGAATTAATTTTCTTTTTTTGGTATATTCGTTTTAAGCTGCGTTGTACAATATTCAGGTTGTTGGTGATTGGACAATTGATAGCATGCCGAATGCTAATGATAGAGTGTGCACTTGTTGTAAAAATGAAATTAAAAGAATTGAAAAGAATTACAGTGCAGTTCATGCAAATTTCATGTGCACACAAAGTGTGTAAACATATCTGATTCCTATTTACCTGTGTTTAAAATGAAACATGTGAAATTTCATTGCGATGACTGTCTGGAAATTTTCGAAAATTTTGACAATGCTTTAGTAAATGTTGATAGACATTTTGTAAAATCTGCAGTTGAAATTGCTACTATTCGTGAATCAAACAAACAGCTCATTTCTGAAGTAAATGAAATGAAACAATTGTTGAATAATTTGGGAAAAGATAGTGTGGCCGTCGGTCCTGAGTTTGCCAAAGAAATGGATATAATGAAAAAAGAGTTGAAGGTGAGCTTTGCTGATGTTGTTAAAGGTGAATTTAAAAATGAAATAAAATCCGTCAATACCGAGGTCATGAATGTAAGTAGAAAATTAGATGAAGAGAGTGAGCGGAAAAAGAGAGAAAATAATATATTAGTATTTGGTCTTAAGGAACAAGGTACAATAGTTGAGGAAAAAAATGTTGTATTAAAAAAAAGTAAAGAATTGTCATGTGATTTAATTGAAAATACTAATGATTTCAAAATAAGTAGACTGGGAATAAAAGGTGAGTCACCACGGCCTTTGTTGGTTGCTGTCAGAAATAGCAATACCAAAACTGCCATCATGAAAAATTTGTTCAAAATCAAATCATTTGATTCTGATTTGAATAAAATTATAATTAGACATGATTTGACACCCCAGCAAAGATTGTCGTTGAAAAAAATGATTGATAAGGCAAAGGAAAAAGAGGCGAATGACCATATGGGTTTTTTATACAGGGTCAGGCGAGAGCTGGGGGAATGGAGAATAGTAAAATTCAAAAAGATGGAGTTAACTTAGAAGGTGAAGGTGTAAAATCATATAAATATAGTGTTGGGTTGTTTAATAATGGGGTTAAATTTGGGTTATTAAATATTAGGTCAATTATTACTAAATGGGGTATGTATATCAATTATTAATGGAGGGGCTGGATATTTTTGTTATCGTTGAATCTTGGCATGGTTCCTCTGATCATATATCGGTGAAAATGTCAATGCCACCTGGATATATGTTTGTTGATTATTTAAGAGTAATGATCCATACCATGGGGGGTTAATAATTTTTTTCGAAATTGTTACAAATTTGAAAAAATAAATGTACCTGTGTTTTCATCATTTGAGGCACTTTGTCTTGCCTTGACAATTGATAAAGTTAAAATACTTTTTTTGGCGATGTATCGGCCTGGCTCTGTAATGATATCTTCATCATTTTTTGAGGAATTGTCTTCAATATTAGAATTTGTAACATCACTAAGTGATAAGGTAATTTTATTGGGTGATCTCAATATACATGTTGAGAAAAGTGATTGTGGTCACACTATCCGCCTTAATAATTTATTTGATTTGTTTCTAATGCGTAATGTCATGAATGAGCCTACGCATAATTTACTAGACCTCATCGTGTCTGGTTATCAAATGTCGGTTAATGATATCAAGATATATCCGAGTGGGGTACACTCGGATCATAGTTTGATAACGGCGTGTTTGCCTATATCACGTCCGCTTTCTCGTAAGATGAAAAAATCAGTGCGCTCTTGGAATCGAATTGATAAAAATAAATTGGTTTCATTAATTCAAGAATCACCAATTGTTAAATTTTGTGATATTATTGATGCAAATGAAGCTGCTGAGCTATTTAATAATGAATTATTAAAAATTGCTGATGCTGTTGCACCGATTCATATGGTTGAAACAAAAATTGTGGCGACTGCACCTTGGTATGATGGTGAGTGTCGTAAGATAGGGCGTGATTGTCGAAGGGCAGAAAGAAAATATAGATTACATTATAGAATGGGGGACAAAAAATTGTGGGTTGAATCATTAAGGTTAAAAAACAACTATTTCAGGGAGAAAAAAGAAAATTATTGGAAAAAATTGGTTGATGAAAATGCTAATGATCCTAAAAAGTTATGGAGAATTTTAAATAACATTGTATGTAAAAAGTCATCAAATGATTGTACTATGACCCATACAGCTAACGATTTTGTTGAATTTTTCATTAAAAAAATTGAAGGGATAAAAAACAATATATCTGTAGCTGGAGAGCCTACTATAAAGTGTAGGTCTAATGTTGACATAAAATTTTGTGAATTTTCGCGGGTATCGCAGTCTGAAGTTAGAACCTTTGTAATTAGTTCTCCGTCAACCTCTTGTATGATTGATTGTATGCCTGCTAATATTTTTAAACAATATATAGATTATTTTTTGCCCTATTTTACGGAATTAATTAATTTGTGTCTGTCAACAGGCACATTTCCAGCTGTTTATAGGCATGCAATTATTATTCCTCTTCAGAAGCATGCGTCTTTAGACATGAATGAACTTAAAAGTTTTCGACCTGTCTCGAATTTAACTTTTATTTCGAAGGTTTTAGAAAGAATTGTTCATAAACAGTTTCTAAAGTATTTAAATGATAATAACTTTTTTCCGAATAATCAATCTGGTTTCAGACGCTTTCATTCGACGGAGACGGCCTTGTTACAGGTATTGTCGGAACTTTTTGAGGCTTCTGATCGCAATAAGGTCTCTCTTCTGACTCTACTTGATATGAGTGCCGCATTTGACTGTGTGAATCATGATACACTGTTACGTCGATTATGTTTAAGTTACGGTGTCTGTGACTTAGCTTTGGAATTTTTCAAATCTTATTTGTGCAAACGTACCCAGCAGGTTTATTATAATAATTCTTGGTCAAATACAGTTCATGTTTTGTCTGGGGTTCCCCAGGGGTCTGTTTTAGGCCCGCTTCTTTTTACGTTATATACAGCCGATATTATGTATCTCATTGATGAATTTTCTTTAAAGGGTTTTGCTTATGCAGATGATGTTCAGATAATTGCAAGTGCGGCGACTGGGGAGTTTGATTTTCTGATTGAAAGAATGTTGGATTGTTTGGGTGCACTGGATGGGTTTGAATGGTATAAAATTGAATCGGGAAAAAACTCAGCTGGTACCAGTTGGAACCTGGCAGCAAACCTCTAGGATTAACGTTGATTTTGTGAAAATAAGTGACATGATTATTGATTTTGGAAAAATGGCTACAGTTTTGGGTTTTAAAATAGATAAAAATCTATGTATGGGTGAACATATAAAGGTGGTAAAATCTTGTTCATTTCAATTGCGGCAATTGTATCGAATTAAAAAGAGTTTGAACAGATCAACCATGGTTACTCTGATTCATTCGTTTATACATTCTAGATTGGACTATTATAATAGTTTGTTTTATGGCGTTTCGAAACATGAGATTGCTAAGTTGCAGATGGTTCAGAATAGAGCTGCAAGAATTGTTGTTGGTGCTAGTCGTGTTGAACATATTAGCCCACTTCTGTCGGAATTGCATTGGTTGCCGGTCAGCAAAAGAATTGTTTTTAAAGTCTGTGTTTTGGTTTATAGATGCTTAAACGGATTGGCTCCGCAATATCTGTCTGAAATGTTGATTGACAGATCATCGATTTCTTTAAAAACTGGCCTACGATCAGATCGGGGAAATTTGTTAGTGATCCCAGTTACTAAATTAAAGATTGCATCACGTAGTTTTGCAGTTTATGGACCAAGGCATTGGAATGAACTTCCATATTTTTTGCGCCGGTCTGGTCTCAGTTCAAAAGTCAATTGAAGACATATCTTTTTTCCTTGTAGAAAATTGCCATAGTTGTAAAGCGCCTATGAGAATGTTTTTAATAGGCGCTATATAAATGATCATATAATAATAATAATAATAATAGTATATTTATATAAATCTTCTAATATTAAAAATTGTTAACCGTTTAGATAAATCATTATTGTTTTCTTATATAAAAAAAAAAACATTTTTTGCACTTTATCTGCGTCTAAACGCGTTTGAGGTGCGGTCTATTAAATTATCTCTACATGTTCTAAAAACAACTCTTATTATGTCTGATATTGTTGAAAATATTTTTTGTTCTATTTTACGATTATATCCTTTTACTTTAAATAAATTTTAACAACTGGCGTTAAATGACGTAACTTTTTGATCAGTTGAAGCCTATAAGTCCGGAAGAATTGTGTCGGCCTCCATGCCAGCAAGCCATCAAAGTGCTTGACATGACCATCAACATTCAAGGTGGTTTTTATTTTTTTTCGTGGACAACAATTTTCATATTGAAGTGCTCAAAGATAAAAAGAATAAAAACATTTTCATCACCAGGGGTGTATTGGCCATGTTTGGCAGAGTTCAAAGAATCGATTAGTAAGTCGCAGATTGAAGCTGAGCAGGGAGGGATTAATTGAATACATTCATTACTTCATTTATTTTTCTATTTGACCGAAGCTCTTTTTGACTGATGGTCAATCCATTCACCAATTTATTTTTATTTTAAAAATTAAAAACCGATGTTTAATAACACTAAAAACGCCAAGTTTATTACGCTGCGCCACACGCAGAAGGTGATGGCGGCCGTCTTATTGCCATGTTTGAATACGTTGAATGTTTACAAAAATCATTTCAATTTTCATAACAACGGTTTTTAAAATGACTGGATTGAATCGAATCGACCTTTAATTAAGCACATCTTGTTGATTTTATTGGTACAAATTGTTGATAATTTTGTTAACTTTGTTTTATGAAATCGTACAATTTGAATTGGTGTCATGTTTTTATAGCAAATGTTTTGTGTGTTTGTCTTTTTCGTTTTCAAATTTTGTTAATTACACTGGTGACTTAATTTTTTTATGATTCTGAACTGGATTTTTAAAAGTTTCTTTAGATATTTATATAATCATCATTTATTTCCGAACGTGTTATATATATATATATATATATTTATATATTTATATATATATATATATATATTTATATAAGTAGATGTGATTAGAGTTTTTGGCTTTTTGTTTTGTTCATTCGTTTGCATAAACATCAATGCATGAGTGACTGCATTCATTGGCACTAACCTACATCACCGTATTGAATTGTCTTTTCATAAACTAGTCCGCTCATGGTCGTTGGCGAAGAAGGAAAATTTGTATTCGTCTCTAATTTATTATATCATTGCACAACTTATTGGATTTCTAATGTTGCATATCACATGAACAGTGCTACTTAACATTCATGACCTGTGTGTATTATAGGCCAACACTACGAATTAATTAATAACGATTAATTAATAAGTTACCCGTTAATAATTAAATAGTATTCAACAAATATTTTTTTCGTTAGTTAAAAACTTTTTTCTCACGAATCTAACAATTTGATGTTTTATAGTACTTATTTATTGTTAATGTTTGATCAATTTGAGATCCATTCATCAAATCGCAATTGGTTAGATAACTTGTTGACTTTTTCGATTTGCTATAAATTGATTGATTGATTGATTGATTGATTGATTGATTGATTGATTGATTGATTGATTGATTGATTGATTGATTGATTGATTGATTGATTGATTGATTGATTGATTGATTGATTGATTGATTGATATAGATTGATCGATATAGATTGATTTATCATAGATGGCTAACTGATTAATTGATTGGTTGATTGATTTAGATTGAAATGATACAGCTAAAACGATTAGATTAGTTGATGATAATAATTCGTCAGATCATTGTTTGTTGATTGGGTATCAATATTTTGGTCATCGAGAGCGCTTCTTGCTCCATGTAGATGTACTACGTTGTTGTGTTGTTTTGTGTTCGCTCGCTAGGCTTTATAATCTTTTTTAAAGTTGTATTTTGTGATTGTTGAAGATCGTTAGTCTGATTGAACGTTTTCTTTAATTTTTAGTTTAAATTGGCACAATAACTCTTCTGAAATTATTAAATATTACGTGATTGTTATTATTTTTATTATTATTATTGTTGTGGTTATTATAAATAAAGAGTTTATTATTATTAATTACAATTTTTACTAATATTATTGTAATTGAAATTTTATTATTATTTTTATTGAAATAACTCACACACACACACACACACACACACACACATATATATATATATTCTAAAAAATAATCATGATCCGTACACATTTTTAGTTATGTATGCTGTTTTCCATTGATTTTTTAAGGTTTATGTCAATTACTTTGATTTCACGATGTAAGTTTCCTTGCCGAAACATCATATAATATCTAGCGGCAGTAATAAGTGAATAATTTATAATTTAAAGCCATTTTTATTCAATTTGTTTATTTGTCGAAATAGTTTACTTTGAATTTGAATCAACGTATGTTCTTAATTATGTTAGTATAACATTTTATAAGAAATTGTTAAACGACGTTTTTAGTTTTATCACGTATTTCAACCCAGGTCGTTTCGTAAAAATCTTTTCCCCAGATCCACTCTCAATCTGGGTGGCTTTTTTGCTCCTTCTAAGAAAATACCCCTTTTTCCTAAATCTTTTCTCAATATCAATCTTTTACCTAAGTCTTTCCTTAATTTTCCTCTTTTTGTGATAAATTTATAATTTTCTTCGTAGTTTGCATCAGATAATTCTCTAAACCTCTTTCCCAAATCTCCTCTTAGCAGAAGTCTTTTTGAAATTTCAACGCCATTATCATCTGCCAATCCATCAACTGTTCTGAAATTTATGGGTTGAACGCTTCTTAAGTCTTTTCTATCCATTCGGACGTTCGAAAGAACTTGTTCATTCATACCGTTTGCTTTTGGCTTGTTGAACGCATATTGGTTTTCTGCTTCATCATCGTCTTTAACATCGAAACGGTGCCAATTTTCACTGTGCGCCTCTTCTATGAAATTGACTGCCGCTAGTAACAAGAGGTAGATCACAAGCATTTGTCAAATATTTTTAGGCGTGTCCTGTTGTAAAATGTAAAAAATTACGATTATTTTGAAAAATCAAGAAAATATAATTTTTGAAAGCGCCACCTACATACATTACAGAAAATTAGTTTACCAAAGTTTCCATCAATCTCACTATGGATAAAGTTATAAAGCAGGTGCTCCGGGGATCAGCGGAAGTAAATTTGGCTCTTCTGCTGCGTGCCTAGTTTTTCGAATTATCATCTGTTGAGCCCAACAAACTTCTGATTACGACTTAAGTTTTCACTTTTACTCAGTGCCGTTCAACATTTAACTCAACATTGTCAGTCAGTCTTAATCTATCATTTTTCAGCACCTCCCCGTGAAGCTGTTTGTTTAACAAATTTACTACAACCTGCTTATTATTTAGTCTTTTTTTCAAGGTCGTTCTGCAATATTTTTAGCAACTACTACTTGGTTTTTTTCAGCTTTCCTATGTTTGCCACGAAGATACTCGTGTTTTAATTCCAACTCTTGATGCATTCCAGGTAGATCCATTTTTAGCAGATGGTAGCAGCACATTTCAATTTTATCTCCCAGCACATTTTTTAAATTTAAAAACTAACAATCAAATCGCAAGAGATCGAAAAATTAATAATGTGTATGCATGTGGCGCGTTTACAAATGAGATTCTTTGGCCTATTTGTACTTATACCGCCGTGAATTGAAAGAGAATAAAGTTTAACTTTTCTTTATCGATCAGAAATAATAGTTTATAATTTATGATACAATAAGAACAACCAAAAAATGAACAATAACATACAATAAAATTTATGTTCCAAAAAGTTTCTTGTCAAGATTTTTATTATTTACCCCAAACTAAACCACTTTTTCGTTTCTTATTCATTTGCTTTTTATGGCCAACACATTTTACATTTCTATGAAAAATATCCGACTCCGATCCAGACTCTCCAAAAATTCCGACTCCAGAAAAAAATCTCCGACACTGTATGTAACACTATCAGATGCCTGGTAAAAAAGTTGATGATTACGTGATGGAAGTTTAGACATATTTAGACCTAGGACTCGAGGAACCACGGCCTCCTGTTGTGAGCACAGTATTTTTATTAAAGTTAGTAAAATACATGAAGATGGACTAAAAAATGACGTGATAAGCAATAAAATGTCGCCACCTAATTTTTTTGAAGTTTCTAAGCCCTCCGTAAAAATTTCAAAATTTAAACATTTGAAAAGTTTTGGCCCTCCGCCCCCGTAAAAGTTGCCTAGATCCGCCACTGGATGCACATGAGCCGGAAACATACGAAAAGACAATTTAAAGCAGATAAAAAAATATTAGAATGAAACAGAAATTCATTAGCCAAAATAGAACATGGAAACTTTGTAGGCTAGCTAAAAGAGCTTAAGTAATTCCAAGGCATATTGATCCCCACAAAAACTTCGCCAGATGGAAGTGAAGATAAATACAAAGCAAAATTTGCAGTCAAAGACTTTACTTAACGTTGAAATGTGAATTGTCAAATTGAACAGTCAAATGTTTAGCTCAGTAATAGAGCTGATTGCAGTCCATCCGATAATAAGAATTGCAGCAAGCAAAAAGTTACATCTTTTCAACTTTGAGGTATCCGATAATAAGAATTGCAGCAAGCAAAAAGTTACATCTTTTCAACTTTGAGGTATCAATTGCGTTGTTATTTGGTGAAATATATAAAGTTATCTACCCTGAACAGCCAGGAAGCTACAATGTATAATGACAAAGCCGCTAGACAGGGTCAGTGGTAAATTCAGAGGGGAGGGAGTATGCGAGATGTGACATGGAAATTTTGAAAATTATCCTCTTCAACCTTTTAAAATTATTCTGAATCCGACATTGGAAGGGGTCAGACTGAAACTCTTAGGTGGATATACGGGACCAAAATAGCTTAAATGTTAAAAACAAGAAAAAAGTGTTAAAATAAACTTATTATTTTTATTATTACTCTTTCTTAGATATATTTCATAGGTTGTGAATTAAGTGCCTTGTTGAACCAGGGCGTCTTCAGTCCCTGTTTTGAATTTCTTTACTGGATTAATTTGTTTCAAACGCAATGATAGTCATTCCAAATCTTTGGCAAAGCAACTTGCATACATCTATCACCCAGCTTCGTCTAACGGTAAATTCACAGGAGACAGATCGCAGAGCATGTCCCATGTCCAGCTCAAATTTTCTACAAAAAATCTTCAAGTATTCTGGTCCACCACCATGAATGCAACAGTGAGCAACAACTGCCATCTTGCAAGAAATTCTTTTACGCACCGGCAACCAATGAAGATTCTCCAACCACCCAGTTATGTGATCACTTTTACCAAGCCCAACAACCAGTCTTGCAACAACGCTCTGAATGCGTTAGACATTTTTAACCATACCAACCCCCAGCACCAAACATCAACGAGTTACAATAAACTTACCTTGACAATATAAATGATACCACAAGACTTGTGAAGATATCAGCTGGGGGAAATTTTTACGCAGCTGTAAAAAAAAACAAGGTACACTAAATTTCACTGCATATGGTAACACAGCCAATGAATTGTCGAACAGTACTCGTAGGTTTTTGACCGTTTTAACTGCGTGCAACCGATTACCAAGAACATCAAATGTTGTCCAACCGATTTATGTTTTTTAACATTTATGATTATGATTTTTCATACCCTTTATTAATTTTCTTATTAGCGCTGCATTTTCCTGTTTTACAGCTAGCCAGCGCGATCATTTCGCTTATTGGTTTTTTCAATAAAATTAGCACAAATTCGTCTTATTTGTCTGTTAGTCATCACAAATCAATGCAAAATCGAATCAATTCGAAACACGACATGTCATCGCAACATAAGTCATCTTCTTTATAAATATATATGGTATTTTATTCTTGAAACATTTTATACATAGAAAATTTTTTCAAACAATTTAAATTTTTGTATAAATTTAATTGCAGCTTTTCAGTATACTAATAAAAATGTTTTATACACTCTATTAATGCTATTATAGGTGAAAACATAAAACAAACTTGAAAATCAAATTAAGAACATCAATGAAATGGATTTTAAAAATTAGTCCTAAATTTAAAGTGAATACAAAAATCAAAGTCCGACTCATGCTACTCTGAGAGATTCGACCAGCAAAAACTTTCAAATCTGATCAACTTCTACTCTGGCTTCCACACTTTTCATACAAGCAATTAGAAAAGACTTGATTGATGTTTTTGTGTTAGTTCTGGATTCCTTAATTAATCGGATAAAAATATAGTTTCTTTCCTCAGCTCAGCTTTTTTCAGACTGCGTGTATGTTTATCAATACGGCGAAGAAGCCTAAATTTTTTAAACATTAATTTTGACATAATTAAAGTGTCGCTTTCATTAACAAAATTGTTTGTTCCGAGCATCCGTTTAATGAATTTTTTTTATAAAATATCAAGTAACTCAAATGACAGTTAAACAATTTTTTGAGTATTGTAGAATCATTAACGTGCAATTGTCAATTTCCACCTTTAAAATTAAGAATAAAATTGAGACTTTACAAATTATTCGAACGAAATAAATAGAACGTAACTTTAGTTAGACTTCTGCAAAATAAGTTTTTATTGGATAACTAATTAAGTAAATTTAAATTTACGCAACAATGCATTATCTGCTATTTAAGCTGAAAATTTTTTAAATAATAAATAATTTAATTAGAATGATTAAATGTCCGGTACGCAAAAAGTAACCTTTTCCTTAAGCCTAGCTAACAAATTGACTTAATATTTTATTTAGTTAAAGTAATTAATCAAATTTTATTGGTTTGGTCCGAAAAAGGAATGAGTTTTTTTTTATGTAATAATACGTTAATCACACCAACCTTTGCAATTCGAAAACTCAAGAATGACTGATCACAATTGAAATTCTGCAAATTTTTAACATAAATAAATGTGATGATGAAACTTTTCACTTTCTGTAATCAGTAACAAACTCTGTTTGTAACAAAAATTATTTCATGAATGGAGAATTAAGAATAGTTTGCTGCGTACATACGTTACTCTTTTTAAAAAAAAAATTGAGAAGCATTATATATATACACATATACGCATGTACAAGTACATATATTTATATATGTATATATATAATATATATATATATATATATTTCTATATTTAATAAATATAGAAATATCATCGCATTTTCAGTTTTGTTGAGTTTGTAACTAAGTTTTTTCAATTTTTCGAACAATTATTTTGTCAATATTATTCAATTTAATGATAAAATTTCTAATTATTTTAGACTGCATTTTTCTTATATATTTACATAAAAGCTTTTATCGGTAACCTTTACCATCATCAGTGATATCGAGTTTGTGATATTGTTATATGCAGTTACAGTATTTTTAACAAAGAAACTTAAGTTTTATTGTTTCCTTGTGTGAATAATTTCTTTGTTGGTAGGATCGTTACGGCCTGTTGTTAGATGTTTATTACAGGCTCTCTATTTTCTATTAATAAAGCCTTTGCCATTCTCAAATTACTTATATTATGGTTGTAATATAACACATTGGTATTTGAGTTTAATATTTTCCTTGTTATTTTTATTTAGTGTGAATCCATTAGATGATTTTTCATTGCATTTAGAAGTTTTATTAATAATTTGAATTAATTGAATAACATTGATAAAATAATTGTTCGAAAAATTGATAAATTTAGTTACAAACTCAAAAATGCTGAAATCACGTTAATATTGCTTAATTACTATATATATATATATATATATATATTATTTATTTGAAAAATGACCATAAAGATAAACTTGTGGATAGGCCACCTTTAACTAAAAAAAAATCTATTTAGAAAAGTTACAGAAATGTCAAATAAATACATACACATAAACTCACGCCCACACACACTTACAAACATGCACCATGCTATAATTCATATCATAATACTGTTAACAATAAAATTATTTTCCAAATTCATGCTGCAAATAAGGCCATATTTCGATTCCGAATGAAT